AGGAATACATTACAGTTTAACAGAGATTCACATAGAAAACAGCTGGTCTAGATTGGAATAATATATCATAATTTTTTATGTTTTTACTGTATTTTTGATCAAATAAATGAGCATAAATGAGCAGCCCTGGTGAGCAGAAAAGTCTTCTTTCAAAAACAGTTGAAAATCTGACCGACCCCAAACTTTTGAATGGTTCATACTGAGTACTTTTTCTCATTATACAATAAACATAATTCAATTTATCAAATAATAGATTTGCAATAAAAATAAGTATATTTCAGTATCCAGTTAATTGTAATATTAGTAAATCACGGGGACACAAATGGCACCGTTTCCTGAGAATAATCGAAATGCAGAATACACTTAATTCACATAAATTAAAAATAACAATTGTGTTGTCCTACACACGTTTGACTGAATCTTTGTCGAAACACGCTTTAGTGCAACATCAGTGTCAGTGAACTGAAGGTTTTCTAAATTCCACAAGTGCCTGCGTTTAACTGCGGTGTTAAATGCATTGCAATCAAATCTAAAACACATGAAACGCGCATACCAGAGCTCAGAGTAAATGTGCGCTCTTTGAAACGGTGTTAATGTTTTAAAGCATGTTGTGTGATGGGTTCACTGAAGCACTTCTCTACATTACAGGAGACAACAGCAAAGAGAAGAAGAAAGACAAAAGGAAGCAATGGTGGAAGCCTTGGGTTGATCATGCGTCCAGTTAGTGTCTCCCGAATGCTCATTATTGTGCAACTGATATAAAACTATTCATATTCATTTCACAAGATCCCAATGTTGATCTGATGTCATTCAGATAAATATTGCAGCTCAGATTCACATTTGAAAGGGGAAAATCATAAGATTTCTTTGATGCCTCAACTGTTTCTTCTAAACAACAGTGAGATTAAATAAAGAGCAAAATGAGACTTGTTTCTCAAATGTGTTCCCCTAGAAAAAAACATTAATAATCTCAAATTTGTCTGCCCAGAGATCTCAACAATGTCTCAGATTGAGCTCAGATTTGCTCAAATACCAACATACGCAATCATTAGACAGAGATCTCAATGTGAACTCAATATTTCACATCTAAGCATAGTTTGTGTTTCAAAAATGTAATTAAATATAATTTAAACATGACTGGGCACTGTTTATTCGAATAAATAAATACAAAATAAATAATTTAAAAATAAATTAATAAATTTTTTAAATAATGAAATGCAAAATAATTCATTTTTTTTTTAAATAAAATACAATTTTTATGTTTTTGTTTTTTTTTAAATATAGTTTTTTCATTATATTTTATTATTGGTTTTATGATGTTTTTTTAAATAGAAAAGTGATGTGTGATATGTTGTCTCTTTTAGTGGTCCGAAGTGGCAATTATTACTTATTTGAGACAGATAGTGAGGAAGAGGAGGAAGACGAGGACAAAAAGGACGAGGAACCTCCCAAAAGATCAGCGTTCCAGGTAAATATTCCAGAAACTTCAGTGCTTTACTGCATGCGCACCCTTTTTTAAGTCGTATAACTGTGCTGAATTGTGTTGTTCCCACACGAAACTGTGTTTAACCTAAATGGCTCTGTGTTACGAAAATGTTTCAATGTTTTCTTCTTTTGTTCCCTCAGCACTTAACAATGTTTCGTTATTAACCAGACCACTAATCGAGCGGTAACATCACTAGCGCCCTGACTAACCATCCCTGCTCTGTCGTCTCTTGTAGAGAGCTATCCGAAAGTTTGCCTCTGCTTTGCTGGCTTTACCAAAGTCTGTCATTAAACTGCCCAAAACTGTACTGCAGTATGTAATCAGGGCAGCCAAGGTACTTCACAATGCCTGATATATCTCCTCTCTTCTTGTATGCTGTAGTGTGTGTCAGCTCTCGACAGCTATGGTGCTCCACTGCATTTTCATGCTCTCCAGTTGCTCAAGAGACATGCATTTGTGGAGAGCAAATAGAGCCGAAATGTCTGATTATTACAGTTGCACGTCAATCACCTGGCCGCCGTGTAAACAGAGCAGATACGGTGCAATGCATGGCAGGGAAATGCAGTGTTATTATGCAGTCGATTGCTGGAGCATGCAGGGCTGGGTGATTTATGAACTATTCATGATATATTTGAGATAATGTTGCCATTAGGAGAGTTTTACTTAGCTGGTATGAAAGCGTGAAGATGTTTTAATAGCTGATTTAAACATTTCAGAATTGGTAAGTTTGATTAATTTCTAAAACTTTCTCAAATTAGAACACAGTCCATATTAATATCTTGATTCTGAAGTCTGGTTCAGCACTTCTTTTATGTTTTATTGATTCATGTAAATGAAAATGATTCAAATTAATTTGTGTGTGTGTGGGGGGGGGGACATACACTGTTGATCAAAAATACAGAAAAAACTGTAATATTGTGAAATATTATTGCAATTTCTTATATTGGTTTCCTATTTTAATGTACTTTAAGATAGAATTTATTTCTGTGATCAAAATTGAATATGCTGATTTATAATCAGTGTTGAAACTGTTGTGCTGCTTAATATATACTGTATATATATATAAGTATAACTTGTGATACTTATTTCTTTGATTCTTTGATGAATGAAAAGTTAAAAAGAACAGCATTTATTCAAAATGGAAACCTTTTCTAACAATGTAAGTCTTTGCTATCACTTTTTATCCATTTAACACATTCTTGCTGAATAAAAGTATTAATTTCTTCTTCTTTTTTTAAAGAAAGAAAAAAACTACTGACCTCAAACTTTTGAATAGTAGTGTATATTGTAACACAACATTTATTTTTGGAATAAACACCATTCTTTTTTACTTTTCAAAGAATCCTGAAAAAAAGTTTTTTTAAAAATCCCAAAAATATTGTGCAGCACAACTGTGTTCAACATTGATAATAATCAGAAATGTTTGTTGAGCAGCAGATCAGCATATTATACTGATTTCTGAAGATCATGTGACACTGAAGACTGGAGGAATGATGCTGAAAATACAGCTGCACATCACAGAAATAAATACATTATATCTTAAAGTATATTAAAATAGAAAACTTATTTTAAATTGCAATAATATTTCACAAAATTACAGGTTAATAGATAGATAGATAGATAGATAGATAGATAGATAGATAGAAAAGGATATCTGAAAATATGAAGATATAATATGTTTAGCTTTATCATCCAGCCCTTGATGCATGTGAGCTGCAGATGTTTTTCTTGGGTTTAGTTGTGCCAGTTAAACAAAGGCTGTGTTTTTCTCCTTTGTGAACAGTGGAATCATTCTTTTTTTGGACGAGACCTGACACCACAATCAGAAAGTCTGTCCTTTGGAGCAAAACATCCCCTAAAGCTGGTTCCCTGTCTTCTGTATTGTGTTGGTGTCTTTGATTGACAGGAATATCTGAGGCTTTTCCTAAAACAGTCTGTTTTGCCGGCTCAGTTAAAGGCTGGTTCTTGACTGGAACAGAGTGCAAGTTTATACCCCGCATGTGTATATTTGTTTTTCACTAGAGGGGCAGTTAAATTGGGCTCAAAGACTGGTTCAAAATACCACTGTAGTTAGAAAGAAATTAGACTGGATTATAAACACCCAACCCAAAAGCAGCTCACTGTCCCACTTGTCCATTTCTTTGTCTAACGTGATCCTCTGCTTCTCAGTTTGTGTATCATGCCTGGATAACTGACTCAAAAACCGCCATGAAAGAGAGAAGTAAGGAAAGACGGCGATTCTGGCAAAGGTACACGGAGCGCAGCACGAATAAGAAGAACCAGAAGCAAGGTACGATTATACATCGATTTTAAACTAATCATACTCTTCCTCTGCGGTCAGGGGATGGATGGATGGATTGATGGATGGATGGACGGACAGAGAGATAAACAGATAGATGGACAGACAACAGAGACAATTAGACAGATGGATGGATGGATAGACGAACAAACAAATGGACAGATTGATAGACAGATGGACGAACAAATGGATTGATGGACGGACAGACAGACAGATAGATAGATGATGGATAGATGGATGGATGGACGGATGTCCAGCTCTGGTCTATAGCTCTGTGTTTCTCAAAGACATGCTCGGGTCATTAATAGTAATTTTGTAAACACAAGCTCGACTCTACTGGGAGCATCAAGCGCCTCATTAAACCCCTCTACTGCAGTTTGTAAATGGAGGCTTGCTCTGCCAGCGCTCTCCTGGAGGCGGCTTCCAGGCCCCAGCATTCTTGGGTCTGAGAGATGAAGAGGGCCGTGTTGCATTCGCTACGGTGAATTCATCCCATATGATGACTGGACGGGGTTTCCACCCTCTCGCCAGATCCAGGAGCCAGCTAGAGCCAATAAAACATTCAGTTAATATGTTTTTAAAAAATAGCTTCCCCAGCACACTCACATTTTGAAAATGTGTCTTGACTGAAAAACTGATACATTACTGTAACAAATAGGGATGCACGATATTATATTTTTGCCGATATCTGATATATCGATATATATATATATATATATATTTTTTTTTTATTATTATTTTGGCCGATAGCCAATGCCGATACAATATATATTTCCTTTTGTTTTGAAACAACACCAAGTCTCCCCTGTGCGGAAATTATAAACAAATTATTTTTATTTTGGTTAGTTTTGTGCAAAAAACTTTTTTGCTAGACGTAATAAACTTTATTAAAGTTTTTTTTTTTTTTTTTTTAAATGAGATTGCATTGAAAGCCTTGAAAATAACTTATAAAACCAATCTCTGCTGTGATTTTTTTGTTTTGTTGTTGTTGTTGTTTTTTCCTCGGACAGATGCAGTTGAAGTTGTGGATTTAACATTAATAGATGGTCTAAAGCAAAAGAGCTGTAAAAATTCTAAAAAATCTTTTAGAGCTCCTTATATTCAAGTTTTCATAATCCATTTGAAAAAAGGTGACCCGTGCTGGCAAAATGAGTCTAATGAGTCTAATCTGCAGGCAAAAGAGTGAAAAACATTGATTTTGGTCGAATTTGAGGTTTTCACAAAAATGTGTTCATTAAGCCCTCATCTAGCGATCCCAAGACTCCATATGGTTATTAAACATCTAAAATTATCTTTATTTGTACGTTTTCTGAGAGAAGTACCTTTTCTCTGCTAGCTTCTCACACTGACTCTCATTTGAAGCGCCCGCATAAAGACAACACCGACGGCGTGCGATCCCGATACATATGCACATAATTAAACAGTAGCTATTGAAGTTAGAGCCCGACCGATATGGGGTTTTTGGGGGCTGTTGTCGATACCGATATTAAGGAGTAAAAAAGACCGATATCGATATATCGGCCGATATTCTTTATTTGTAGGCTATATTATAGTACAGTATAGTCAAAAGTTTGGACACACTTCCCATTCGTATGTCCAAACTTTTGACTGGTACTGTATATAGAATACAGTGTATATACATAAACAGAATATATACACATAAACACATTTTTTGCAACGATAACTCAAATGTGGTGATCAAACACTTATAATGATGTGTATTTAACAATTTAACAATACACTTTATTATTCAAAATGAGTCTGACATCAGTGCACTTAACAGTAAAGTTCACTTATTATAAATACACCTAATAAAACACAAATAGAACAATATATATATATATATATATATATATATATAACTTATATTGAAAATAAACAATGTAACTGTGTAGGGCAAGCAAGCTACTGCCAAACCAACAGGGGCAGGTTTATGCAGGAAGCACAGCTTTTACAAATGTAAACATCTAAAATGAATAAATAATAATAATTCTGTGTTGTGTATTTTCTGGTAATCGAATGAACATGCAGAACATGAGGATTCGTATTTAAATAGGCTCATATCGGCCGATAATATCGACAAAAAGATATATCGGTCAGGCTCTAATTTAAGTATTCCCAGAGTCATAAACTATTATATCTTAAATTAATTTTTGGGGAACGGTTGGGGAAAAACATCGGATGTGTAACATTATATTACATCCGTGCATTAGAGCAAGTCTTAATATAGGCCGTCTGTCGCATTAACAATAATGTTAATCAAATGACAAAAGAAAAGAGGGAATCATTTGCTGCACTTGATTGAATTGCTTTTGTAGTTTTAATAATCAATGTATTTGTAATGAACACACTAAAGTGATTTTTTTTTCCATTTGAATTTGTTTTTCTTACTTGAATACTTTCGTTTAGATGCAAAATAAAAAAGTAATACACTATACACTTATTTCTTTCTTATATTTGTTCTTTTTTACATCTGTTCTGATTTATAACAAAAAAATAGCTATATTGTCATTAGATAGATAGATAGATAGATAGATAATAATATCGACAAAAAGATATATCGGTCAGGCTCTAATTTAAGTATTCCCAGAGTCATAAACTATTATATCTTAAATTAATTTTTGGGGAACGGTTGGATGTGAAAAACATCGGATGTGTAACATTATATTACATCCGTGCATTAGAGCAAGTCTTAATATAGGCCGTCTGTCGCATTAACAATAATGTTAATCAAATGACAAAAGAAAAGAGGGAATCATTTGCTGCACTTGATTGAATTGCGTTTGTAGTTTTAATAATCAATGTATTTGTAATGAACACACTAAAGTGATTTTTTTTTCCATTTGAATTTGTTTTTCTTACTTGAATGCTTTCGTTTAGATGCAAAATAAAAAAGTAATACACTATACACTTATTTCTTTCTTATATTTGTTCTTTTTTACATCTGTTCTGATTTATAACAAAAAATAGCTATATTGTCATTAGATAGATAGATAGATAGATAGATAGATAGATAGATAGATAGATAGATAGATAGATAGATAGATGGATACTATTAATATAGTAATGATTATTAAGAAAAGAATAGGAGGAAAAGATGAAATGTTGATAGGTGATCTTGCTTCGGAACCTTCAGAAAACTTTAACGAGTTTTTTTTCTCATAATTGACTTTGCTGACTCTATCGACTTCAAACAGGTGCAGCTCAGTCATTTTGTGTCCGATTCCAACAACACATGCATCATTTTGAAGGTCAATTAATAGAGCATGTCAAAATAAAAATAACAAATTTTGGATTATTTGCTCATTGTGACTCATTTTGCCAGCACAGGTCACAAATATATTAAATATTACTGAATAAATCTGTATATATCAAATTATTTAATTTACATGTGTCATGTTTCTGATTTTTATTCATATAAGCTATAGCTTCTGACGTTTACATCAAAACAGACTCGCGATTTTATGACATCGATACTGCTTAATTTATTCAGAAATCGTGCATCCCTAGTAACAAATCAGGGTAAATGGTTATCATGTGTTTATTACATTGTAATAACACTGTAATTTTTTCATCATCTGCAGTGCATGTGGCCATTGAGGAAGGAGATCAGGAGGAAGGTGTTACAGAGCAGGAGGTATCTGATGGTCCAGGTGAGACCAACTTCAAAAGCCTCCTCATATTATGAGTTACAATCGTCATATGCATCAGTATGCATATAGCTGAGGTCTTATTTTGCCTAAATATCATATATATATATGTTTTTTTTCATTTAGTACTGCCCTTCAGAGGCTACAGAAGATAGTTACATGTTTGCCAGACAACAAAATAAGTAAAATTTGCCCTGATCTTCAAAACTTAATGCATGGTTTCTCCTTCTGGAGCATCAGTGAGCGTTTGAACCTTCTGTAATAGCTGTGTTTGAGTCCCTCAGTTGTCCTCAGTGTGAAAAGATGGATCTCAAAATCATACAATCATTGTTGGAAAGGGTTCAAATACACAAAAATGCTGGAAAACCAAAGAATTTGTGGGAGCTGAAGGATTATTCTGAAGAACAGCAGGTAGTTTAACTCTTCATGACAAACAAGGGACTCATGAACAACTATCACTAAACACAAAACACACAGCTGTGGATCATTCAGCGAACAACACAGCATTAAGAATCAAAACTTTTGAACCGGATCATTTTTATAAATTCAACTATTATTTTCTCTTGTGGACTATATGTGAGCCTGCAGCACAAAAGCAGTGTTAAGTCGCTGGGGTATATTTGTAGCAATAGCCAACAATACATTGTATGGGTCACAATTATTAGGATATTAAGTAAAGATCATGTTCCATGAAGATATTTTGTAAATTTGCTACTGTGACTATATAAAAACTTCATTTTTGATTAGTAATATGCATTGCTAAGAACTTCATTCGGACAACTTTAAAGATGATTTTCTCAATATTTAGATTTTTTTGCACCCTCAGATTCCAGATTTTCAAATAGTTTTATTTCAGCCAAATATTGTGCTATCCTAACAAACCATACATCAATGGAAAGCTTATTTATTCAGCTTTCAGATGATGTATGCATCTCAATTTAAAAAAAGGTACCCTTATTACGGGTTTTGTGCTCCAGGGTCACATATGTAAACCTCTTTTATGAGAAATATCTTATTCAGGTCAGTACTAAATAAACAATAACATGCATTTTGTATGTTCCCTCTTATTTTGGTAAAATAATTAACATTTTGCTGATTCTGAAATGTAAAATGTAATGTAAACTTTTGACCTCAACTGTATCTCTCCACTCCAGATAACACCCTGAAGCGAGTGTTTAACATCGTGAAGTTCTCCTGGGTGCTTTTCCTGACCCTGCTGGACGGTTTCACTGCCTGGCTCAACTCCATCTGCCAGGAGCACATCGATATCTCCACCGTCCTGCGCATTGAGCGCTGCATGCTCACTCATGAGGTCAAGAAGGTAGTGCTGGCACGAGAAATCACTCCAGAGTGCTGCTGATTGGCCTGCATCTGCATTTTTTCTATTTTATCATGTGTTATTGGCTGCATGTGACACATGATCTTTGTTTTTGTTTTTTTTCCTATTTATGTTATAAGTATTTTTTGTTAGTATTTTAACTATTTTATTTTAACTGTTTTGTAGCTTATAGCAACATCTTAAGTAATGATGTAATAATTTAAGAATGCAGATATTGTTAACATGCCAGTGTCTAGAAATGGCGTGCAAAATTTAAAATATGAATAAATCTATATATAAAATATGATATAAAATGAATAAATATAATCTATCATTTTTACAATGAATATATACATTTTTCACAATACATTTCAAGCTTTCAAATATGTAATTTAAATGAGCTTCTCAGATATATCCATACTTGGGAAACAAATGATTTTTGGTAATTCAGTTGAAGCTGAAATAGAATAAAATAAAATAAGTAAAATATTAGATGAAAAACTTACTAAAGAATACGTATCTTAATAAAATGAGATATGTTGCACTAGCAACTTACTGTTATAAATGAGAGTAATAAGTCAAATGACTAAAACCGAAATCTAAAGATAAATAGAAATATTTAAAAAAATATATAATTCAGATGACAAAAGCAAATAAACTTTTTTATATAAAACTGAAAAAAATAAAAAGCTAATTAAAAATATTAATAAGTACTAAAAGTATAGGATAATGTACTTCCAGCTGGTTGTCATTGCAAAATAATTTCAAGTCCTCTGATTCCTTTTTACAGTAAATACTGTCAGAATCAAGCATTTCAGAGAGCCATGTAATAATAATACTATATAAATAACACTAAAATAACAAGTGTCATCGAATCTCAATGGACTTCATGGAATCGACTGCAGAATCAGTATTAGCACCAATGCTATAATTACACTTCACATGAATCATGAGCATCATGCTTGGAACGGACAGCACTGTAAACCTTGAGGTTTAACCCCTCGTCTGCTGCCCTGCAGGGGAATATTCCATCGCGGGACAGCATCCACACGTACTACCAGAGGCAGATGTGCAGGCCAGCGTCCGCTGAGGACAAGTACTTCAGCCCTCTGCGGAGCCAGGCTTACGAGTCCGATCTCTCTGGAGAAAACCTGTCCAGGTGAAGAAACGCCACTCAATGCGTTCTAGATCTGTTTGAAACTAGGGTTCTGTGTCTTTTTACAAAGCATTCTGTTGCAGCTGAATAACATGAGCAAAAATCAGCAGCCTACAGAACACTTTTGGAACTTTTGCCTATGCTTTTAATAAAAACACCACAGCAAAAACAACTAGATTAATACAAATTTCAAATATTAAAGTGTTAAAGACAAGTAAACAGTCAGTAATAAAATAGGAACAAACAAATCAATTAGCAACAGCATAAATAATTACAACTGAACCTAATTTCAGGTACAGAAACTGTAATTAAAAGTTTAAAAACACTGCATAGGTTTCTTTTCATAAATAAAATATAGATTAATTAGATTGGTTAACAGCTGATTGGTTCTCTCCTGTATCGGTAGCCAATGAGCTCGCTGCTCAACAATCAAATATATGACTAGTGCTTGCTGTAGCAGTTTGCAGTGTGCTTCAGAAACCCTCCACCTTCCCCAGCTCCACCTGTATAGATCTCTACGAGGTGATTCATGTATGCTATATGTATGTTATATTCGCAGCAGCAGCATTTCTTACGTGCTCACAGCAGCATGTTGTGGATGTGTTGGCAGCAGCAGCAGTGTAGCAGATCTATTCCACCAAGACCAAATACATTATCATTGTCATGTACATTACCATGCCAGTCCCTCCGAGAGTTGTCATGACAGAAATATATTCAGTCAAGATCAGTGAATGATTTTCTTTTGTTCTTTGATTAACATTAATGACAGGCAGTGCGTTTATTAGGCTGCTGTTTCTTTAACACCAAACGCACGCAGATCTAAAAACACTGTACACGTGTGCTCTCATCTTTCTCATCTGTTTACGTTCACTTAAGACAAAAACGGCTGTGTTTATGATGATATACTGACGTAGTTTCTTGCATACTGCTCGATAAATACGAAAGAACTCAGTTCCAACCCGAAACAACCTTTTCTGCAGTGAAATGCACGCAAACAAGGCGCAAGTTCTTTCCGTTCCTGCACTTAAATGGTTATAAATCACATTAAAATGCGAACGTAGGAATTGTTAAGCAGAATCGAAATGCATGCGTCTTATCGAATACCCGGTTATTGGAAATATGGAACCGGTTCTAAAATGGAACCGGTTTTCGATACCCAACCCTATTTGAGACATGGAAAATGGATGGAAAGAAAATCTAATTTATGCACATGTAATTTAATTGTTACTTTCAGCTTTATAAAGTTTAAATAATATTGTTTCATGCCTCCAGACAGATACTCTCAATGTCTACTCAATGACTAATCCAGAAAGTCCCACTTATCTCAGGGTTGATTTACCTCCAAGAAAAGCACTCTTTTGTTTTCTTAACCCGGAGAAAGGTCTTCCGTTAAAGCTGTCTGCAGAAATTGGGAGCTGAAGTACGACAGAGGATGTGTTTAGTAAATGCTCAGTTGTATGGTTGGGTATTGTTCGAATCTTATTTATTCAGATTCTTAATGATTCCCATTTTCGTTTCCAATAAAGTGCAAAAAAAGAAGTCCGATTTTTAGATATGAAACATATATTTTCTTTGTCTTTTTTTGCAAAGCATTATATTGCAGATGAATGCCATGAACAAAAATCAGCAGCCTAAACAACACTTACGCGAGGAGATTTTTTCATATGGTTTATACCAAATATACCACAACTAGAAAACCAAATATAGATGCCAAACTTTATTAAAGACAAGTGAACAGTCAGTAATAAAAATAGCATAAATAAATGCAGGTACAGAAATTGAAATTAATTGTAATCAAATGTAAAATGACACTATATAGTTTTCTTTTTATAAATAAAATATAGATTAATCCTTATTAACGTGTCAACAGATCAGTGAGTGATTTTATTTTTCCTTTGTTCTTTGATTAACATTAATGGCACAGACAACAGCAGGAATATGAGGCTGCTGTCACTTTAAGACCTAATGCATCGGTCCAATATACTGACACACGTGTTTGTTTTTCCTCAACTGTTTACTTTCACTCAAGACCGACTGAGTTTATGAGGATATTTTGACATAATTTTGTGTGTATTTGTCTGTTCACGTGAAAGAGAACTCAACTCAGTATTCGTGCAATATATGGGAGGCGGCTTTCTGTGTTCATGCTGTGGATGTGAAAACTGTACGAGTGCTGACTTGAGTTCTCTTTTGCATCTTCTTGCACTTTAAAATGTGCCTGATAAGCGGAATTGAAATGTGCATGTCTTATCGAATCTGCAGTTCTTGGAAATTCATAACCAGTTCTAAAATGGAGCTGATCCTTGATACCCAGCCCTAATTCGGGTGTCTATATAAGCGCACAAAGTAGTTTGAAGAGGATTTTTAAAACTGCACAAGACCAAGGCAGGACTAGCTGTCTACTAGTAAAAAAACCTGGTGTATAAAAGTATGACATGAGCAGCACTTTCCTTTGAATATCAGCTTGTTTAGTGACACATGTGAACTATAAATCAGACACTGTTCTCATCAAAGGAGCAGCTTAGTTCAGTGTAGCAGCCTGTTATTTTGCAGGACGACTTACTTATTTTGACTCTCACTACACCCAGTGTAAGGCACACACTGCGATAAGGTGTTTGCCAAGGATTCAGTGCGCCAGATTTCAACAACACCCTTCAGTCTCACCAGCTCACCGACGCCAAATCATCAGATTCCTCTGCTAATTTAAAAAAATATTATTTACAATATAAAATAACTGTTTTCTATATGAATATATAGTCAAATGCAATTTATTGCTGTGATCAAATCTGTTTACACTTAAAATAAAACCATGGTTCCTTAGTAAAATCATAATATTTCCATATCATTTCTTGTAATACTGTGGTACTAATTGATTGCTATATTCCTATACCATATTGTTTGCATGACATCTGAAAGGTGCCATATTCAACAAAACGTGCTAATGACATGTTATTTATTGTAAGTGAATCCTGAATCTGGTTCTTGTCTGTGTGTTTTCTGTAGTGTGTACACAGAATCCACTGTGCTGTATGAGTCCACTCTGGACCAGCCTGAGGAGACCAGCGACAGTGTTCTCAAAACCAGCCAGCGCTCTCGACCCAGACTCTGCCGCCTGCCTAGTGTAGACCTGCAGTCGTCGAGGTATGAGCCCTGCTTCAGACCGGCGTGTGTTTCTGTGTACTTACAGCTCCGGGGCTTTCTGTCATTACCTGTTAGGAGGCAGGTGACTCTATTATGTGTGTAAACCAATCTGTCCTGAGCGTTAACATGCACGCACACACACACACACACACACTGTACACACACACACACACACACAGACATGCATACACACACACTCGCACCAGCACACGCACACACACACACAGACAGACACACACACAGACACGCATACACACATGCGCACACACACACGCACACACACTCAGACACACACAGACACGCATGCACACACACTCGCACCAGCGCGCGCACGCACGCACACACACACACACAGACAGACAGACACACACACACACAGACACACACACACACAGACCGGTGTGTATGGTTACTGTAGCCCTGTGATGACAGACAGACAGACAGACAGTGTTTCCAGAACCTTCTGCTCACACACAGCCAAAGCACAATGCACACAGATATTCAGAGTGAATTCAGTCACAACGCCACACACATTAGATACATAATGCATGGTGGATCAGTCTGTTATTAATTTGTGGTGTTTGATAAGGTGCTGTCAATTCATCCCACACAGTTTGAATAACAAAAATAAAAAAGGTAATTGCAACTTTTTATCTTACTATTTGGACATTGTTTCTTGCATTTCTGAAAAAAAGGTCAGAATTGCGAGATACAAAATTGTGAGATAAAAATAAAAAATCTGAATTCTGAATTTTCTCACAGTTCCGTTCTCTTTTTCCGCCACAGAATTGAAAAAATAAGGGTAATTGCTACTTTTTGTCAAAATAGAAAATAAAAAAATTCTCGCAGTCGAGTTTACATCTTACAATACATTTTTCCCTCTGAATTCTGGGTTTATATATCATATTTATATGGCAATAAATAAACAAGTAAAAGTAAGTAAGTATTACTAAATAAAAGTATAAAAATTACTGAATGAAAAAAATATATATATGTCTATATATATATATATATATATAATATATAATACTAAACTAACTAATAAACTACTAAATAAAAATGTGAAGATGACTTTTGTCAAAATAGAAAATAAAAAAATTCTCGCAGTCGAGTTTACATCTTACAATACATTTTTCCCTCTGAATTCTGGGTTTATATATCATATTTATATGGCAATAAATAAACAAGTAAAAGTAAGTAAGTATTACTAAATAAAAGTATAAAAATTACTGAATGAAAAAAATATATATATGTCTATATATATATATATAATACTAAACTACTAAACTAACTAATAAACTACTAAATAAAAATGTGAAGATGACTAAATATGGGACCTGGGCAGTATGCAGTGTTTTATGCTAGTGGTCCATTCTGAACACCTTGAGGTCACTCAGGTAATGTGGGATGGTGCTTCCCTCTTGTGGTTATTTGCATGAATCACAAGCTCACCTGTATTGTGTGTGTTCCTCTGGCAGTGAGCTGTCCTCGCAGCAGGAGGCAGACCTTCCAGAGCATCCAGACAAACTCTGGAGCAGCACCTCAGACCTGCCGCCTCCCTCGTACAGCAAAGCCACGGGCCTGGACTCAGCGGGACGCACCGAGGGCAGCAGGCTGAGGATCCAAACACCTGACGATGAGAAGAGCGCCGACACTCAGCTGACAGCCAGCGAGCTGCTGCAGAGCAGGTGACCTCACGTCACCTGTGTGAGAGACTTCTAGACTGTGTCTACAGAAGAGTTTTATTCTTCTTTTCAAAAGCATTATCATTCAGTAGTTTTGGATTGGTAACATGTTTTTGAAAGAAGTCTCTTCTGCTCACCAAGACTTCGTTTATATGATCACAAATACAGTAAAACAGTGAAATATTATTTCAACATAAAACAGCTGTGTTCTATGTGAATCTGTGTTAAACTGTAATGTATTTCTGTGATGCGCAGCTGTATTTTCAGCATCATTCCTCCAGTCTTCAGTGTCACATGATCTTCAGAAATCAGTATAATATGCTGATCTGCTGCTCGACAAACATTTCTGATTATTATCAATGTTGAACACAGTCGTGCTGCACAATATTTTTGTGGAAACTGTGATGCATTTTATTTTTCAGGATTCACAGATGAATAGAAAGTTCAAAAGAGCAGCATTTATTTGAAACCGAAATAACATTATAAATGTTTTACTGTTACTTTTGTTTGATTTAATGTGTCCTCACTGAATAAAAGTATTAAAAATAATAATAATAATAATTACTGACCCTAAACTTGTGAACAGTAGTGTATGTAAAAATACAATCATATAACATTTGATTCATGTGTTGCAACACATTATGCATTCGTATTTCCAACAATGCTTAAAATTATACAACAGCAACTATAATATTTTAAGGTCCAATTGGTTAAATTATGTTCTTAAAACAAGGCTATTTATGTAATGTGGAGGGCATATGGTTCTCATTGTGACAACAAAATAAACGTGATAAATATTTCCAGGGCAATAGCAGTGAAAATGTTCAGAAGCCTTTTGTGGCCAAGACGTCATTATAGACTTTACGATAAATTACGAAAATTAAATTAAACTAAAAACAAATACATAACTAAATAATAAATAAATAAAAACCTTAAGTTAGAAATATAAAAAAAACTATATTAGAAATGTTAAAAGTGTGACCAGTCTCCCTGTATGTGAAAGCACACTTCAAAAGTGCATTAGAACTGATTGTGTCTGTGTTATACAGTGAGTGCACACTGAAATCCCATCTGATGTTGTTCTCCGTCAGGACGTTCTACGACGAGGAGCTGGAGGCGTCGGAGCATTTCTACCGCTCTCAGCCGCAGCTCCTCCAGCTCTGCTACGCTCTCTACATGTGGAGGGCATATGGTTCTCATTGTGACAACAAAATAAACGTGATAAATATTTCCAGGGCAATAGCAGTGAAAATGTTCAGAAGCCTTTTGTGGCCAAGACGTTAAAAGTGTGACCAGTCTCCCTGTATGTGAAAGCACACTTCAAAAGTGCATTAGAACTGATTGTGTCTGTGTTATACAGTGAGTGCACACTGAAATCCCATCTGATGTTGTTCTCCGTCAGGACGTTCTACGACGAGGAGCTGGAGGCGTCGGAGCATTTCTACCGCTCTCAGCCGCAGCTCCTCCAGCTCTGCTACGCTCTCTACAGCATGCTGGTGGCTCACTCTCAGATGCTGTGTTATCTGGTCATCATCCTCAACCACATGATCTCCGCATCGGTGGCCACGCTGGTGCTGCCCATCCTCATCTTCCTCTGGGCCATGCTGTCGGTTCCCCGGCCCAGCAAACGCTTCTGGATGACAGCCATCGTCTACACGGAGGTATCGCCTCTCTGATGGTCCTCTCTCAGACCGCATGATAGTGAGAGAAACTCATTTACAGTGTCCTTGTGTTAATGCACGTGCTATAGTAATAACAATACATTATGCAGAATTACAAACACTACAGTAAGTGCATGTTGTTAATTAATATTACTCAGTACTGGTAACAAGGGCACCTTAAAATAAAGTCTAACCAGGTTTTGGATTACAACAAGGTCGCATTAGTTAATGCATTATCTAACATTAATTAACAACGAGCAACGCATTTACTAATCCTTGTTTATGTTAGTTAATAAAAGCACAGCTGTTCATCGTGAGTTCACGTCAGCTCAGATCCATTAAATAATATTTACAGAGACAGTTTTTGATTTGAATCATGTATTAGTAAATGAACCAGTTTAATAAATGCTTTAGAAGTATGTTTGTATTGTTCATATTAACCAAACAACAACAAGTGTTGCCACATGTTCTCTTAACCCTCATATTGTGTTTTTGGAGAGGATTTTCTTTTTCTTGAAAATGCTTGTTAATTTTCTCGCATTGGACTGAAACTTACTGACGTTGCTCACACAGGGTTTAACAACTTCACCAAAAATAACTCTTTTTTTTAGTTTTTTTCCTCACCTTGTTATACACTTGTAGGGTTCTCAGTCAGAGATGACAGCTTAAAGGAATAGTTCACCCCAAAATGAAAGTTTGCTGATAATCTACTCACCCTCAGGCCATCCAAGATGTAGATTAATTTGTTTCTTCATCAGGTTTGGAGAAATGTAGCATTGCATCACTTGCTCACCATTGGAGGGAATGGGTGCCGTCAGAATGAGAGTCCAAACAGCTGATAAAAACATCACAGTAATCCACAGCACTCCAGTCCATCAGTTCACATCCGGAGAAGACACAAGCTGCAACACATCCATCAAGAAACATGTGTCTATAATCCATAATAACTCTTCCTCCAGTGAAAAAGTGCATCTGCTGTTGTCTCTCGCATCAGAATCCAGCCTCATATTAGTTTAGAGCTGTTTAAACGCTGCTTGATCTGTGCAGATTTCTCTCCTGATTCACACCAGAACACTGACTCACTGGAGGAAGAGTTATTATGGATTATAGACACATGTTTCTTGATGGATGTGTTGCAGCTTGTGTCTTCTCCGGATGTGAACTGATGGACTGGAGTGCTGTGGATTACTGTGATGTTTTTATCAGCTGTTTGGACTCTCATTCTGACGGCACCCATTCACTGCAGAGACACTGATGCAATGCTACATTTCTCCAAATCTGATGAAGAAATAAACTCATTTGCATCTGGAATAGCCTGAGAGTGAGCACATTTTCAGCTAATTATCATTTTTGGGTGAAATATTCCTTCCATATAAAATATCCAGTTTGAAAAAGCAGTTGCATTTGTCATGAAACAGAAGTAGCAACAGATTTTTTCATTCCATGTTGTGACATCGAAGTGTAATGGATTATTAGAAAATAAAAAACGTAGGGCAGGAACTTTGTTCTGTCCATCAGACTAAATGATTGGACAAGTGATCATGAGCTGAGCCCAAAATATAAAAAACATGAAACCTATGCTTGGATGAATCATTCACGATAAGATCCATTACATGCCAACTTTAAGAACAATGCAATTATTAAACCATGTAAGTGCAGTAAAACTGAAGTGAAACTGGTTTCTCCACAGAAACACTCTGCTGCGGCTGACATCACTTCCTCTCTGTCAGAGGATCAGGTTCCCGAGGCCTTCCTGGTGATGGTGCTCATCCAGTTTGGGACGATGGTGGTGGACCGTGCGCTGTACCTGAGGAAGACTGTGATGGGGAAGGTCATCTTCCAGGTCATCCTGGTCTTCGGGATTCACTTCTGGATGTTCTTCATTCTCCCAGGAGTCACCGAGAGGTAAATGACGAATACTGTCATCATTGAACCCGTTTAAGAAGCTCGAGGTCATCTAACGTGTGACTGGATTTGATTTCTAGGCGTTTCAGTCAGAACACAGTTGCCCAGCTCTGGTACTTCGTGAAGTGCATCTACTTCGGTCTGTCAGCCTATCAGATCCGCTGCGGTTACCCCACTCGCGTGCTGGGAAACTTCCTGACCAAGAGCTATAACTACCTCAATCTCTTCCTCTTCCAAGGGTACGAAATACAGCTGGACTCATTACACCTCCACATTACAGTGTGTTCAGCCTCAGAGACGCTGATCCTGAGATTTACAACATATTAAAGTCATTCTTCATGTGCATGACCACAAATAATGCTACATATACAACATTTGGAGTGAGCATTATAATGCTTTTATTCATCAAGGACACATTAAATTGATCAAAAGTGACAGTAAAGACATTTATAATGTTACAAAAGGTTTCTATTTAAAAAAAAAAATGCTGTGCTTTTGAACTTTCTATTCTATAATCTGTGAATCCTGAAAAAAATATTGTGCAGCACGACTGTTTTCAACATTGATAATAATCGGAAATGTTTCTCGAGCAGCAGATCAGCATATTATACTGATTTCTGAAGATCATGTGACACTGAAGACTGGAGGAATGATGCTGAAAATACAGCTGCGCATCACAGAAATACATTACAGTTTAACAGAGATTCACATAGAAAACAGCTGTTAGAAATTCTCTAGTTAGACTAATTTGTTTTATGAAATTCATTCTACATGATGATGGGTAAACAGTTATTGACAATTATTTGTCATGTCATGACAATATTTGTCATAAAATCATGTTTGGTAATCAAGATCATTGTCATTTTATTTATTTGTCTATTTTATTTATTATTTTTTTAGATTATGATTTTAGATTTTTTTGCACCCTCTTCCAGATTTTCAAATAGTTGTATCTCAGCCAAATATTGTCCTATCCTAACAAACCATACATCAATGGAAGCTTATTTATTCAGCTTTCAGATGATGCATAAATCTCAATTTCGAAAAATGACCCTTATGACTGGTTTTGTGGTCATAATGTGTATAATACATTTAGTGCATACCATACTTTGTTTCTGGTGCGTCAGAAGCGCTCGAGTCCTGACCGAGTCTCATCTTTCTGAATGGTGCTCAGGTTCCGGTTGGTGCCGTTCCTGACGGAGCTGCGGGCGGTGATGGACTGGGTTTGGACCGACACCACGCTCAGTCTGTCCAGCTGGATCTGTGTGGAGGACATCTACGCTCACATCTTCGTGCTCAAGTGCTGGAGGGAGTCGGAGAAAGTGAGAAGACATCCAGCCAGTGTTTGTCAAAGCAGCATTCAGAAGCAGGATTCACGGTGGTGTGTTTGTGTGTTCTCAGAGGTATCCTCAGCCTCGAGGACAGAAGAAGAAGAAGGTGGTGAAGTACGGGATGGGGGGGATGATCGTGATGCTGCTCATCTGTATCGTCTGGTTTCCTTTGCTCTTCATGTCTCTGGTCAAATCTGTGGCTGGAGTGGTCAACAAACCGCTGGACGTGTCTGTCACCATCACACTGGGCGGCTTTCAGGTGTGTGGATGTTTATGGGTTTAGGGGTGGAGATGGGTGGGTTTAGGGGTGGAGATGGGTGGGTTTAGGCGTGGAGATGGGTGGGTTTAGGCGTGGAGATGGGTGGGCTTAGGGGTGGATATGGGTGGGGTTAGGGGGGGAGGTGG